TTCTGCGAAAGAATAAAAAATAAAAAATAAAAAATAAATTGCCATCTTTAAAAAAAAAAAAGATAGGAACAAATGCAAAAAAAGAAAAAAAAAAGGAAAAGGAAAAAAACCCCTTTCTTCAAGACAGTTTTATTTTCTTGTGTTATCAGTGGATTAGGCAGCCGCAGAGGCTGGAGGTTCATTCCCCTGCCTGCCGTGCTGGCCCCACCCCCAAGGCAAACTGAGATCCTGATTGAGGCTGGGCTGGTGGCTCAAGACTGTAATCCCAATGCTAGAGAGGCTGAAAAACAGGAAGGATTACTACGAGTCCAATCTGTGCAGTGAGACCCTGTAGACCCTCTACTAAATATGAAAGGAAGGAAGGAAGAGGAGAAGAGAAGAGAGAAGAGAGAAGAGAAGGATATTTTTAAAAATCATTCCAGTGGGCTGGGGAGATGGCTCAGTAAAATAAGTGCTTGCTTGGCAAGTAAGTGCAAGGGCCTGAGTTCAATTCCCAGTTCCAAAAAAACAAAAAAACAAAAAAACCCTCATCCCAGGTAACACAATGATACAAATTATCAATGGGGAAAAAACTCAGTCAACAACTAGCCTTTCCATTCATAAGACATTAAAACAAATAAAAATCAGAAGCATTTATTTAGGAATAAAATTATCTATATGACACAGTTGTTTATGACTTCAACCCAGTTGCACAACCTCCCAGTGTATTGTATCAGGCATAAAAATCAAGCTTAGGCTACTGATCTCATACAATATAATAACAACAAGAAACTAGATCAACACTAAAGTGCAACATTTTTCTGGGCCTTTTATCTACACAAACGGGTAAGTCTACTTGACAAGTGAAAGTACTGCATTATAATATTAATATTCCTCAGGGGCCGGGGAGATGGCTCAGTGGAATAAGTGCTGCCCTGGCAAGCGCAAGGGCCGGAGTTCAATCCCCAGTTCCGCACAAAAAAAAAAAAAAAAAAAAAATTAGTATTCCTCAAGACTCAGATTGGGGCTGGAGAGATGGCTCAGTGGTCTAAAGCACCTACTTGGAACAAGCTTGGCAAAGTACAGGGACTCACGGTTCGATCCCCCAGCACCACATGCCAGCCAGCTGTGCCCCCTGGTGGGCTGAGCTGGCCACACACACACACACACACACA